CTTAACAAGCTACAGCTCTGCTCCTACAAGGAGACATTGGAATAGAATCAAATACATATTACGGTATATAAAAGGTACTACCGATATAGAATTATTTTGTGGCAATGATTGCAGTCCCCATCTTGTTGGTTATGCCGATGCTGGGTATTTATCTGACCCACACAAGGCTCGATCTCAAACAGGCTATATGTTTACATATGGAGACACTGTCATATTTTGGCGATCGACTAAGTAATCGATCGTGGCTACTTCATCTAATCATATTGAGATAATTGCTATTCATGAAGCAAGTCGAGAATGTGTATGGTTGAGGTCTATAATACACCTTATTCGAGACAAATGTGATTTGAAGTGTGACAAACTACCCATAATTTTGTATAAAGACAATGCAGCATGCATAGCCCAATTGAAGGGAGGATTCATAAAATGGGATAGGACAAAGCAAATTTTACCAAAGTTATTTTTCACACATGATATTCAAAAGAATGGTGATATCAATGTGCAACCGATCTGTTAAAGTGATAATATGGCTGATCTGTTCATCAAATATCTACCGACGTTAACCTTCAAGAAACTAGTGTACAAGATTGGGATGCGAAGGCTCAAGGATGTGAATTGATGCTCTCATCAGGGGAATTAATACGCGTTGTACTCTTTTTTTCTTCCAAAGTTTTATCCCACTGGATTTTCCTTGCAAGGTTTTTTAACGAGGCAACCAAAAGACGTATTTCTAAACATGTGTACTCTTTCTCCTTCACTAGGATTTTTTTCCATAGAGTTTTTTCCTAATAAGATTTTAACAAGGCACATTATCTATGGACATCCAAGGGGGAGTGTTATAATAAAAATCAAATTATGGTGGATGTCTACTCTTCCTCCATGATCTTCACAAATGCTTAATGACATATTTCTATGCTTAATGACATATTCAATGACATATTTTTCTTCACTTTTCATGCCTATATAAAGGTCTTGTAAAAGATAAGAAAATACACACAATTGAAGAAAAAAATCTCTTTCTTCTCTCTATCTCCATTTCTTATTCATGTTTTACTAAATTGCTTTTATTTTATAACAAAACTCTTTTTATTAGGGTATCAATTAGTAAATACTTATCAAAATGTTCCTTAGAAGTATTTTGATTTTTAAGTATTTTTTAAACTACTCCCTCCGGTCTATTTCAATTGATTTTTTTGTCTTTTTCTTGTGGTCCACAATATTTAATTTTTTCAGATATCAAGAAGGAATTAACTTATTTTTTCTAAAGTTGCACTTGGAGTAAAGAGGCTAGGAGTATATGTTATATTTCTAATGTACAAATTAAGGCTAATATGGTCAATTTCGTTGTTAATTAATACTACTAAAAGGTGGATTCCTTAGCATGTACGAAAATAGCCAAAAAAATTAATTAAAGTGGACCAGGAGTATCTATATATAAAAGTTAAATCAAAGATCATTAAGATGAATTCTGAAATGTAACCAGTTTTTTGGTAGCAGTAAAGTCAAACATATTTTGTGTGGTTATTCATAAGCTTACATAAATGTGGGAATAAAATTCAAGACCTTGCCAATAGCTCACAATAGATATAAAGAGGTAGTTAACCCCTTCTTAGAACATGACTCAAAGGGAATCCAAAAGGTTAAACGGGTAGGTAAAAATACCACACATGGAATTATACAAGTGGACATCTCTCTCTTTATAACTTTCTCTTTCATGCCGAGATAGTGGAAAAGGTTTTAGGATCTATTCATTTCATAGGCACAAGTTGTTATCAAAGTTGTTTTCAAAGAGAAAGAAACTTTTGTGGTGGTGGGTGGTAAAAGAACAAAAGAAGAAACATCCAAGCAAGGAGGTAAATATTCATATAGCAACAAAATAACTATGCTTTAGTCACAAATTAGTTGGAGTGGACAATCTATATTATGAAAATTCATCATGAATTATTAAATTTTATGCTGGCTACCTATAGCCTACCGTAGCTTTCTCCGGCTTCGGATTCAGAGACGGATTCCGAATTTGAAATTTATATATTTTGAATTTGTCACGGAATCTATAACCCGTCTTAATTATAAGGTTTACAATTAAATATTTTTATATATATATATATATATATATATATATATATATAATGAATTTCGTAGTATAAATATAATTTTTAAACAAAAATGACTAAGTTCGGTTGAACCTGCACTTAATAGGCTAGCTTCGCTTTTGTTGGGACCAACAATGTAAACAAACTTACAAGGCAAATTAATCATATATAGCAACAAAAGAAGAACATAAGGTGAATAAAGAGAAACTATTTCCCACAATATTAACCCTACTTTGTCGCCTAAACTTGAACGACAAGGTTTGAGATAGGGGTCTTTTAAACAAAGTTTATTATTATTTATAAACAAAACATAGCAAATGACCAAAAATAAAGCTAAAAAGAGAACCAACTATCGGTACTTTTATTGTATTTAAGTGGTTCGTTAATCTTTTAAATATATATGCATATTGGTACTTACTCTTTAGTCTTGTTACTATAATATATTAACTTGAGGTGTCGATAGAAATTCATACATTTCAATTCTGGATCCGCCTCCGAACATACCTAGTAATAAAATAAAGAAAAGAGAGAAGTGGAAGGTGAACCAAAGCCCACAATCAACTAACCACCACACCCCACACTCATTTTTTCCAAATTTACTTCTTTTTCATATACTATTATACTAGCTAGTACATGTCTTCTAGAAACTTTAACAACATACACACCAACTCAATATCTCTCTCTCCATTTTGCTTGCATACTGGAGTCAAATAGAATGAAAAAACAACTCCAACCATCTTATGATCTGACTCTTACTTGTATTAGCAAAAATATGTAAACCAAAAGCACATCCCACAATTCTTCCAATTGCCTGCTTCAACTACCTTACCAGATATCATTACTAAATTATAAACAAAATAAAGAGTTCAAATTTTAAATACTAACCGTGTAAAAGAAATCTTATATAGTACTATTAGATATAACTAGGAGTAGCCATCCGTAGAAATTGGAATTAGTAACTTGAAAAAATAAGGTACAATACATGTTACATCACGCTAAATGTTTTTTTTAGTTTTTACGACAACAACAACAACTAGCCTCAGTCCGAAATAAAGTTGAAAATTCTTATATATATCTAGTACTTAAAAGATAACTGCACGCAATCATCATCAAAAGTAAGATTAGTAATCTGGAATAGCATTACACCGATAGAGTAAATAATATTTACACTATCAACTCAACCAAAAGATATTTACATGTAGTTCTCCATTAAAAGCGAGATTTGTAATCTTAAAAGTAAAACAAGTAATCTGCTGCAACAGGTAAAAATGATCTTCCAGTATAAAATTTCTTTTACGTATCGGTGTATCATACTGATACTTTTTGTCCGTGGATAAAAAGTTTAAGATCTAGATCACAATATAAATCCGATAAGGTAGTTTAAAAAAAAAAGCACAATAATAATAATAATAATTTCACTATTATTATATTGGTAGTTATTATAGTACATGTATTGTTGCCCCATATGGTTGGGAAGATTTTGGAGGATTGGGTTTGGTATATGGTTAGCTAAATTATTAATAACAGGTTGTTCAGAGTTTGGACAGAACCGAAAAAGAGAGACAAATTAAAAGGAGACAATCAGATCACACTACTCCCCTTTGTCTTCTTTGCCAGAATTTTAATAACTCATCACTTTATATACCTACCTGAAGGTTACCCATAGTTAATGACTTGTCACTTTTTCTCCATTTCTTTTTGTTGGACTTCCTTTTGGAGTAATATATATGTAGATATATCTATGTGTTATGATTTTCTTGTGCACGCCTCTCTTAAGAAATATTAATTTGGATGAGATTTTGACTACTTTACCCTTATTCATGTCTTAATATTTAATCTTTCTTCATTGAATATTTTCTCAATTTGTGTGTCATCTCCATCAATAACATATTCATATTTTTACTAAATGTGAATGCAATTGTTTTGCTTTATAGAAAATATAAAGAGACACGTAAGATAAAATTAACAAATCAGTAAAATTAACTCTTCCAACAGGTGTTGCATGACATGGAATTCATCTTTCCTTCAAAATATTTTCAAACTAGTGATTTTAAAATTTTCTTTCATTATCTTATACTCTAGCAGAATTTTGGTTTGAATAGACTTTATAAAGAATTTCTGTATTTACAGTACACTATTGATTGCATTAGTGTAAACATGATTAAAGTGTTAAAGATAACAAGGTCCATTTCTTGGTATTTGAATAAAATTATCCATAATTAAGGTGTTTGTAGTCTTCTAGGATAATTATTATTAAGGGTAAAAAAGAAAAAATATAATCAATTTTGTCTTGAACTTCTAAAATGACAAATAATTTGAGATAACTATTTTTAGTAATCACGACTGTTAATATGAGATCAAGGGAGTACAAATTTATCCGAATTTAATAGTTTTGGCTCGTACTTTATATATGTGCTAAAAGATACACTAAATAAGTATTCTCTTACTCCAATTAATATGACAATCTTTCCTTTTTAATCAATTTCAAAAAACAGAAATGACATCTTTTTATATTTAGTAACGATTTAACTTTAAAATGTCTAATTTACCCTTAAGCAGATAATGTATAGCGACACAAATACCACAAGTTTCAATTTTTTATATATTTTTTTAAATTTTGTGATCAATCAGATACTGTTAGATAAATTGGGACTGAGGGAGTATAGATAATAGAGTTCGAATGGTTAATTATGATAGATATCAAACTCAAACCTATAACGTTCAAATTTGAATCCACAGTATTTTACAGTGACAGTATATAAAGTTAAACAGATAATTAAATGGTAATAATATTGATGCAAATATTTTTTAAAGAAGGAATGACCATCAGCCACTCCTGCAAACCTGTCTCACCAACTCGCATCTAGAAGCAATTAGTGTCNTAACCCCCACTTCAAGTCCTAAAAGGGCAGGCTTTGATTCTCAATAGCACTACCAAAGCTAAAACTTCCATTATTTCCTTCCATCCTCTCTATTACTACTACACTTCAAATTGAAAAAGTAATTAAGAGAAATATTTCTTAGAAATTGGCTCAAAATGGGAAGGTCACCATGTTGTGAAAAGGCTCATACAAACAAAGGAGCATGGACTAAAGAAGAAGATGAAAGGCTTATTGCTTACATTAAAGCTCATGGCGAAGGTTGTTGGAGGTCTCTTCCTAAAGCTGCTGGCCTTCTCAGATGTGGTAAAAGCTGCCGTCTTCGTTGGATTAATTACTTACGACCTGATCTTAAACGTGGTAACTTCACTGATGAAGAAGATGAACTCATTATCAAACTCCATAGCCTCCTCGGTAACAAGTAAGTATTTACTCTCGGAAGTAATTAAAAGTATGTCTGCTCTGAAGGAGAGCTTTGCGGTCAAATTTTCTCTCTATGACCTATAGGTCACGGGTTCGACCTTGAAGTAATCACTAATATTGCATCCCTTGGGTGCAACCCTACCTCAAACGCAGAATGACTTGTGCGCCGGACTACACAATAGTCTGTGTGCTCTCTCTAAGTTGTTAGTACTAATTATAGTCAAACCTCTATATAACAGACTCATTTGTTCAGATATTTTTTGGCTGTTATAATTAAGTGTTGTTATACTTAGAAGATACATATTATAACAATAACAAAATCGATTCCGAAAAAAAAAATGACTTTGTTATATAAAAATGCTATTATAGAGAGTCTGACCGTATTTTCTTTGTTTCTTGTAATAGGTGGTCACTTATAGCGGGAAGATTACCAGGAAGAACAGATAATGAGATAAAGAATTATTGGAACACACATATAAGAAGGAAGCTTTTGAGTAGGGGTATTGATCCAACAACACATAGGCCAATGAGTGAGCCTACTCTTGGTACGCAAAAAGTGACAACCATTTCTTTTGCTGCTGATGATCAAGATCAGAAGATTAAGATCAAATCCGAATTAATTGAGACGATGAGCAAAGAAGAAGATCATGAAATTCAAGAACGGTGTCCTGACTTGAATCTTGAGCTTAGAATTAGTCCTCCTCATGACCAACAAAACCAACTTGATCATAATCAAAGAGCAAACTCTTTGTGTTTTACATGTAGTTTGGGTATACAAAATAGTAAAGATTGCAGTTGCAGTACTAAAAGTAGTAATGGAAATGGCTGTAGTAATATTATAAGTATGAATATTTCTGGTTATGATTTTTTAGGGTTGAAGGCTAATGGTCTAGTTTTGGACTATAGAACCTTGGAAACTAAGTGATCAGATCCAGATTATGGTTTTAGTTTTCTGTATGTAGAAAAAAAGTATAAGAATGTCAAGAGAGAAGTGAAATTAGTTAAGAATATTATTTTTCTAGCTAATTTCTCTTGGTTGTAAAATTCATACTGTGATTACATTTAGTTCAAAGCAGTAAAATAGAGTACCTATGATTCTATGAAATATTATATGGATATGACTATTTTGCTTGCTGTTTTCAATTTATAGGCCTTGGTAAATGTTTCCTCGTTTTGGTGAAAATTGGATTTTTCGATTACTTTCCGGCAATTTTTGTAGTCGGAAAACAGTGATTTTCTGGTAGTGTATAATTCCTGAGAAATAAAGATCAGTGAGCGGTTTTTGCAAATTTCTACTATAGAGTTTAAGAAATTTAAAAAGACTTATAATGCGTAAGTCAAAAATATGCAAAGTATATTTTCCACTTAAACGAGTGCTAGTGAAAGTTTCACGTGTCGTTTCAATTACTTTTATATCAAGTAAGTTTCAGCAAGTAATATCACTAGGCGTAAAATGAGGAAGCTTAAGATTAAATATGTAATTTTCAAAAAGAAAAATATATATCCCTCTATCTCAATTTACTTTGCACCATTCGTATCTCGAGAGTTAAATTAATTTTTTAATTTTGATGGTGAATTTGGACATAAAGTCTTTAAATTTTTTGAAATAAATTTACATGTTGAAACTACGGAAAGTACTATAATTATTATAATTAACAATTCAAAATATTTAAAAAGAATATGAAAAAATTACGGTCAGAAAAACTCAAGTGGAACATTAATTAGGAGGGAGGTAGTACTATACTTTTTGAGACAGAAAAAAAGTTTGTTATATAAAGAATATTTTATTTGTTTTGTAATAACTATGATTTCTCTCTATTTTTCCGGTCTTTTTAAAGACAGACTAAAAAAAGTCTGTTACATAAAGAGTATCTTATTTATTTCGTAATGTTATCTAACATTGTTAACAATGTTTGTTTTCTATTTTTCTATGGGCAATCTGATTTTCTGTTATATAATCAGCTAACAGTAAAATAGAAGATGTGTAGGAAAGTTGCTTTCTTTTTCATCTCCAAAAGATCTTATTTCTTTGCGTGTACGGATGAAACCGAGCCCATGAGACGCTTCGGTTTTTTATGAAGTAAACGGAGGAAGAGACGTGATTGTAAGGGACCGAAATCGAGGCAAGGAGCCCCTCGAGTCGGGGTCCGGGCAAAATGTCTGCCCTCGGGAGTATCGAGGCCACGACCCCCAGGATCGGTTCGAATCCGAAAAATCTCGGAGGGCATTACCAGATAATCGAGCATGACCAACAAAGGTCGTGATATCCGTGATCAGCATATAAGATTATTACGGAGGCGTACATACACAAGTCCCAACCTTATCCTCTACAAAATCTCAGGCCTTAAACACATGTAAATTTTGGGAGAACCTTTCAGTACCACATATTTACATTTCAGGCCAAAACTGATATAACACATGACTCGCAATCCATTCATTGATAGTGGACTCCCCCACTCGGCGCGAAGTCATAGTTCACCACGTCCGATGTTCCAAAATATTAACCTTCACAACTCGTATAAATCAACCAGATGCCAAGGTACGTTGCACCCCCCACATTATTCACTGGGTGATCTCTTTATACGTCCGCATCTTCAGTCGGAATCACACGTTGAGGTAATGTTTGAACATCTCTGGCTCCCTCGTAGTTCATCTGTGGCATCACGAACCGTCGACGCACAACTGATACCGAGTGCGCAATGTCATACATGAGTAGATACAAAGGAATATGAGATATAGGTTTCAAGCAAAATCAATGTTGCACGATAAGGAATGAAAGAGGTGATATTGTTCCTAAACTTCATAACCTCTGAGAGATACGTACAGACGTCTCCGTACCGATCCTTCATACTCTACTAAGCTTGCTCGTGACTCATGAGACCTATGTAACCTAGGGCTCTGATACCAACTGTCACGACCGGAAATTTCCCACCGACGGGACCGTGATGGCGCCTAATATTTTACTTGCTAGGCAAGCCAACGTTAGAGAATCATTAAACCAATTCCTTATTTTCATTCAGTAATTAACAATAATTAACTAAGATGAAATATAATAAGTGCGAAATATAATAAAACCGTATTAATTACTACCACCCGGATTTGGAGTCACAATTCACGAGCATTCTAGAATTTACTACAAGTAATAATCTGAAAGAAATACAACTATCTGAATGAAAGAAACAGTAGAACAAAAAATATAGGCGGTGACTTCAAGGTCTGTGAACGCCGACAGATCTACCTTGAGTCTCCGGACAGCGGACCAATAGCAAAATCTCGATCAACCTGAACCGGTATCAAAGTCTGCACAGAAAGTGCAGAGTGCAGCATCAGTACAACCGACCCCATGTACTGGTAAGTGTCGAGCCTAACCTTGACGAAGTAGTGACGAGGCTAGGACAAGACACCCACATATAATCTGAACAGTATAATCATGCTAGTGGCAACAAAAATAAATAAATAAATAACGTAATGGGAAGGGAACATACAGTGGGGGAATACAACATAAAGAGTGAGAATAATAAAAAGACAGAATTAAACCGAAAATCCTTAAAGGAATTGAGCAATTAAAACAGCAAGGAAAACTGCACGGCATCACCCTTCGTACTTTTACTCTCAACCTTATCAAATAAATGAATAGAGCGGCACGACATCACCCTTCGTGCATTAAACCTCTCATAATATATACGGCATCACCCTTCGTGCTTTAAACCTCTCATAATATACACGACATCACCCTTCGTGCACGGCGTGAATCTCGGCACGTATCGACAGAAAAACGGTGATTAGTTAATTGAAAGATTTTTACTTTTTGTGAAATTACACTTAGGGTAAGACTCCCCTACTATATAAAGAGGAGTCTAATTATTTATTAGGTACACTGCAACACGCATATCAAGGCAATATATTCTAATTTTCTCTGTTATTCAAAGTTCTTATTTTTGTTCATCAATCATCAATAACGTGAGCCCGAGATCGAAGGCAGGCATTTCATTAAGCTGTTACTATGTACAAGATCACTCCTCTTGATTGGTTTGACAATTTATTACGTCCTTTATCTGTTTAATCTAACTCAATTTATCATTTGTATTGAATTAACCCACGTATCCTTAAAATCACTTACAAATTTAATTTTTATCCATTTTTTAGGGTAAACAGTTTGGCACCCACCATGGAGCTAAGGATAATAGTGGCGATTTGATACAAATTTTCATAGCACCTTCTATTTTACACTTGTTCTTTGAGCTTTTAATTTCAGGTTAAATTAAAATTGTCGAACTCCCAATCTGCCCATTTGAACATGAATGCTGAGTCCGGCCACCATGGCGAAAACAACAACGTGGTACCCATCAACGAGCTGCCCCCTGCTGACCCCAACGGAGTCCCAGTCCCTAATCTGATCGATGCTAACTCACACGTGGATATCGAAGCAAACTTGCCCACTGACCACGAAAACAACATTCGCGTGGGAACCTGATCGATAGCCTGGAGTACACACGACGGCGAAGGTAATGTAGGGGTGGACGCCGGTCCGTTCGGTTCGGTTTTGTAGAAATTCGGTTCGATTTATTCGATTTTCGGTTTACAATTTTAATAACCAAAACCGAACCGTAATAATTTCGGTTCGATTCGATTTATTCATGTTTGGTTCGGTTTTAATCGGTTCGGTTTCAATTTTAAGCCATAGCAAAAATAGTTACCAAACAATGAAAATAGATTTCTTTCTAGTAGAAAAACACAAATAAAATAAGAAATTCCATCAAATACACGAAAAAGAAAATAATCTTTATGTAAAAAAAATCATTCTTTTTTCAAAAAACATAAAAGAAAAGAGTATTATTCTCACCCCTAGATAAGGTACCTTAATTATCATGTTTGAATTAAAAAGCTTCATGTCTGTATAAGGCACTTTAATTTCTATTTTGTTTCTGTTTGCATTTTTATTTTTGGAAATGGAGGTCTCGATTTGCACTTTGATAGGTTAATTGACAATACACCGTGAAGAATTACATTATCTGTGTTAATATGTAATACTTCCGGTCTCGAAGATTGTGCAGGCTATGTCTTTCCTTTGAAATTCTTTTGAAACTTAGTTTTGATATAATATTGTTTGATGAGCTTTTGTCATAAATGCATTATTAGTTATTCACTCCTAATGCTCTTGCCTCTTTTGCTTTGTTGCAACTGACAACACTTCCTATATTGGTTAAAACTATCTTATTTGCTTGGAGTCTAGGATTGCACACCACTAAAAAATTACTCACTATCAGTAAACTTCGGTTTTTCGGTTTAACCAAAAATCAAACTCTTAAAACTGATAACCGAACAGAACACCGAATTTTTTAAATATATAAATCGCAAATCGACTGAATAAATCAAAAAATCGAGACCGAATAAATCAAAAATTTTGGTTCGGTCGGTTTTCTCGGTTCGGTCGGTATTATGGCCACCCCTAAGGTGATGGAATCAACTTGCGCATGATCTTCGAAATGTTACAGGCTCAACAGGCAGCGATAGCCCAATTGCAGAACCAAAGGCGAGCAGAGTTGAGTCTGAATCGTCCCGGGAAATGAACCGGCCACAGAAAGGCCGGGTGAAGCGGAACCCGGGACCAACCCCTAGATAATAAAGATGCTTGAGGAACTGATAAAACGGGTGAAATCGGGAGAAAAGATAATCGAAACCAACGACAAAAAAGTGAAGACCTATAACCCTAAGGTCGACCAAATCCCAGGAGTGCCTCCGATACTGAAGGGCCTGGATTCTAAAATATTTATCCAAAAGCCTTTTCCTCTGAGCGCAGCTCCGAAGCTGATCCCAAAGATGTTCCGTATGCCCAAAATTCTGAACATGGGACAACCAATCCAAACGAACATGTGACCTCTTATATGTGCGCCATCAAGGAAACGACTTGGAAGATGACGAACTCGAGTCCGTTCTGCTGAAAAAGTTCAGAGAGACCTTGTCAAAAGGAGCCAAGATATAGTATCACAACATACCCCCTAATTCTATTAATTTATTTGCTATGCTTGTAGATGCCTTTCTAAAAGAGCACGCTGGGGCCACAAAGGTCGAGACTAGGAAGTCACACTTTTTCAAGGTAAAGTA